GCAGCAGCGGCAGCAGCAGCAGCAACAGCCGAGTACATAAAATCATCGTTAGCAGCAGCAACAGCAGCAGCAGCAGCACCACCACTACCACCACCACAGAAACCCAAGGGCAGCTACACACAGCTAACCCCAGAAGCGAAAGCAGCCGGCAGCAGCAGCAGGGGGCACACGCGGAGCATGTTCATGCTGAGCAGTGTCCTGGCGGCCGCAAGAGCAGAGCAGTAACAGCAGCATGCACACTAAAAAGCCAATGCAGTAAAGGTGACACACACAAGCAGGGAAGTATATGAACAGGGAAGCCTTGGCTGGTGGGAGCAGCAGCTTGTGAGGAGATGGGGCGCGCAGGCATCATGCGCGATAATTTGTCAAGTTATCAGGGCACATGCTGCCACATCTGGCAATGCTCGAGAAGCAGTTGCACCTGCAGCCTCACACAGCAGCGGGGCAAGCTTGTGATTGCGAAACATCCGCAACAGAGCGTGTGGTCAGTGATTTGCGCAGCAGCTAGCAGCAGCAGGCAGCCAGTGCGCTGACAGGCGCTGTGTAGGATTTGCATACACATGACTCGAACACCACCACCACCAGCAGCAGCAGCAGCATGTGCGCTGACAGGAGCAACACAGTGTCAGCATTTACATGACATCAGCAGCACCAGCAGCAGGAGCAGCAGCAGCAGCAGCAGCAGCAGCAGCAGCAGCAGTGGGTGAGCTCTCTCGTCGAGGATGATTGGAAACCTCTGCTGCTGCTGCTGCTGCTGCTGCTGCTGCTGCTGCTGCTGCTGCTGCTGCTGCTGCTGCTGCTGCGCGCAGATGTTTCGATTGGCGGGCAGCCAGCAGGCAGGGTGCAGATGGAGCTGTGGGCTGACGTTGCGCCCAAGACAGCTGAGAACTTCAGGCAGATGTGCACAGGGGAGTTCAGGTGAGAGCGAGGCGTGCCTGGCGCGTGTGTGGGGGGGGGGGGGGAGGGGGTGCTCGCCCTGGGGCCTGTGAAGCGCGCAACCAGGATGCTGCTCGACCCGATCAAGGTCGCATGCGCTGCTGTGCTTGCGCAGCCGCCAGCTGCTGCAGTGCTGCCGGTTCTGCTGTCACTTTCCCGCGACCGTGCGTCGCTGTGCGGTGGATGGAGTCGATGCTGTGTCACTGCTGTCCCGCAGCTGCGGTGCCCTGGCAGGGGCGGCAGGCTGCCCCAGGGCTGCAGCTCACCAGCGTGTTGCAGCACTGGACAGTGGCGCACCAACAATTCAGTAGTGGAAGACTCAAATAGTGCTGCCTTGCTTGCAGGAAAAGCGGGCTGCCGCAGGGCTGCAGCTCACCAGCGTGTTGCAGCACTGGACAGTGGCGCACCAACAATTCAGTAGTGGAAGACTCAAAAAGTGCTGCTGTGCTTGCAGGAAGAGCGGGCTGCCGCAGGGCTACAAGGGCTGCCAGTTCCACCGCGTCATCAAGGACTTCATGATCCAGGGCGGCGACTTCATCAAGGGGGACGGTGAGAAGTTCACAGCGCCAACTTTGGCATTGGCCTTTGGAGCTGCTGAACTCTGGTTTGCAGCTGCTGGCGCTGCGCAGTGGCAACTTTGTCTGGTGCATTGCGCGGCAGTACTGCCACACAAAGGAGCAGCCGCTGCAGCAGATCTGCGGAGACGGCATGTTTAGCAAACCCAAACACCGGGTGCTTGGACTCTGCCACCTGCAAGTGGCAGTCTCTTCCCATGCACAGGTCGGCCTTCAGTGTAGCTCGATGAGCTTCAACACCGTGACGTATGACAGGGAGCCTTTGTCTGCTTGTCCTGCCATGCCCTGCAGGCACGGGCTCCACCAGCATCTACGGCAGCAGATTTGCGGACGAGGCGTTCACCGCGAAGCACACCGGGCCGGGGCTGCTGTCGTCCGCCAACAGCGGCCCCAACACAAATGGCTGCCAGTTCTTCGTGACATGCGCCAAGGCCGGTGAGCAGATCTGTTACATGTGTGTTGCATCGGTGTTATCGTGTGCGGTTCGCTGCCTTGCAGCCAGAGACGTCAGAACGTGTCCCGGGGCTGTCAGGCATGCACACGTCAGCTGACACGGCTGCTGGCAGAGCGCAGCTGGCTGGCGGCTTTCAAATTAAACCTTTCATATGATAGACCATGTCCTGCCCGTGCATCACGCAGCAACACCGCCGTGCAGCTGTTGCTTCGTCAGCTGCTGCGCCAGGGCCTTGAGCACACGTGATGAGCTGCGCTGCAGGCGGCGTGCAGGCCCAGCAGTTGGCGACTCGGTCCTCGGTTGCAGTGACGGCATGCGTGTGTGCCGCCTTGCGCACCCTGCAGACTGGTTGGACAACAAGCACGTCGTGTTTGGACGGGTGCTCAAGGACGGGCTGCTGGTGATGCGCAAGATCGAGAACGTGGCAACCGGCCCTGCCAACCGGCCAAAGCTGCCATGCACCATCACAGAGTGCGGCGAGATGTGACGCGGCTCATGGAGCGCCTGCTGTGAGCAGCAGCAGCAGCAGCAGCAGCGGCGGCGGCGGCGGCGGCGGCGGCGGCGGCGGCGGCGGCGTCAGCAGCAGTGACAAAATGTGGCCAGCAGGCCAAAGCTGCCATGCACCACCACAGAGTGCGGCGAGTGTTGCAGCGGCACCGCGCGCCTATCTCTGCAGCAGCGGCAGCAGCCGTGGCGGCAGCGTTTGCTGCGGCAGCTGCAGCAGGAGCAGCGGCAGTGACAGGTCTGCCTTGCACTGTCACAGAGCGCGGCTCATTTCACAGCGACACAGAGCATCTGTCTGCAGCAGGAGCAGCAGCCCGTGGTGGCAGGAGCACCTGTGGTGGTGTTTGTGTCTTGCAGGCTGCTCCTGCCTGCAGCGGCACGCAATGCGGCGAGGTGATAAGGTGGCCCATGTGTGCCTGCTGCTGCACAGCACCAGGGGCAGCACCACCAGCAGCACCAGGGTAGCGGCAAGGCAGCATCAGGGCATCAGCCCTGCCGCAGCAGCCGCAGCAGGGTGTGCATCAGCAACACAAGTAAGTAGATGCACAGCCGGCAGCGCTGCAGGATGCTCAAACCAGCAGCAGCAGCAGCAGCAGCAGCAGCGCTGCCCTGGCAGGCCTGCCCTAGCAGCGGCACAACGCTGCTGGTTGCACGCGACGTCGTCATGCGGTCATACCCGAGGCAGTGCAGCAGCAGAAGCGACACGTAAGGTTTTGGGCTCTTGCATGGTTGCCCAGGCTATGTGGCTGGGGCATGCCGACTGCATCGTGCTTGCCGAGCCTGCTGCTGTGATATCACAGCAGCATCGATGCTGCAGCTTGTTGTGTGTAGCGCGCTGCACAGTGTGGCGTGGCTGTGGGGTGCGCTGTGCGAAGCAACGCACCCGCCCGCATGCACAGTCCATGCTTTCTGACCGTCTTCTGTCGAGGAGTAGTCAACTAGTGTGCAGCACAGTCAGCACTCAGCTGTGCTGCAGGCTAGCTACATTGCGTGGCGGCAACACAGTACTGCAGTATGGCAGGCATGTCCATGCATGAAGTTCTTTGTGAAAGCTGTCAAGGTGTGACTCATGTGCTGTTGGTAATCGTGTACACATGTTGCATTTGCTCTGTAACTGCAGTACATGCACTCTCCCCTGTGTGCACAGAGGGTTCCTCTTGGTCCGACCAGCAACTGCGTGTTAAGGCACTTCATCACACAATGGCGGCTTGATACTAAGAGGCCGCTCATTGCTGGCCAAGCAGTGAACTTCCTATAGGATTCCTCGCTAGGAACCGCCAGGCCTAGCGTGCAAGGAACAGCTTTCAACCAAGCCATGTACGAGGACACATCACTGTTGGCATACATGCAAAGGCACTCAACCAAGCCATGTGCAGCAATGCTCATCATCATCATATTACCCATTCAAGCCATAGCATCAGCGCCATCGGCCCCGCGCCCCACCAGGGCGGAAAGAGGAGGGAGCACTGCTCCAGAATGTTTGCATGCATTGCGCACATCCCAAGACTTGACAAGAAAAGCAGCAATACACGGTGACACCGTCCGACATCTTCCAGAACTGCCCCAATTATCATCAGATACAAAACGCAACACCTTGATTGACGAATCAGCCATGGACAAAACGCAGCAATGCTGACAGAGCGAAGCACCCAGAACACCGGCATCGTTTTTGGTCTGAATCCAAGGGTTGCAGACAGCGGTTGGCGTATTGGCAGTACAGTGCAGCCTTCCAACAAGCCAGGGCCAAGGGCGCAGCTATCGATCCATATCCGGATGCACGCGACTTGCTACGGAGCAGCAACCACGCGTCGACAGCATGCAGCTATCCAGGGCTCGCAACCACCGATCGGCGATTCAGACCAATCCATCGAAATTCCTTGGCCAGTATCGACCAGGTGACCTTCAGTGGGTCTGTTCCGGGCCGGCAGGTGCATTTTGGCGGGAGATCTGGTCGAAACAACCCCTGTTCAGCGCCCGATGATTCGACGAACCCGTCGAAGCCCATTTCCACATTTCGTAAAACCGCAGCAATCATTTTTGGATTTCGACCCGTCGATGTGGCTGCGCGCCCTGCAGCTATCGTCCCAAGGCCTGAGTTCACGCCAACTCACACACAATAGGACTGCGCACGCTTTCAGCGGTTTGCCATCCCATGCAATGATGGCGCCGCCTTGGGAAGCAACCCCGCCCTGTACTGTATATGACTCCAAGACGTGCGAAATCAGGAGTCCGCATGGTACACATGTGCACACCATGCAACCCCTCTTCTATCTTCTCTCGATGCCCAGCAGCAGCAGCAGCCAGGCTGCAGGGAACCCCCACACAGCTGACGCACATAATGGTACGCGGGAGGTTGGTGCCCCCAAGCGACTTCCCTGGACTCTGGTGCTTTCAACGTGCTCAACTGTGCATCCAGCAGAGCATTACAGTGGGTGGAGCCAGCATTGCTTACAGATGCCAATGCAGCTGCAGCGTTGCATGAGGAACGCCGGGTGACTCTGCGTCGCTGTTGGGTTAAGAGTGCTGCTGCTTGTTGGGTAGTTTAGTGGTAAAACACCGGCATGGTATGCTGGAGACCCGGTTTTGAATCCCGGTCCAACCGCCCGTGGCTGGGCTAAAAAAGCAACTGGAAACGACGGATTTGTGCGGGTGGTTTCGATTGCCCAAACAATGAAGAAGAAACTGGTACAATTACAAGAAAACCTCATGAGCGGAACAATGGCTCGCTGGGCTAGTGCCTGAGGCAGGTTCAGTCCTGTACTAATGTATATACAATATATTGTATTGTATTGTATTGTAGATTAGGCGTACAAAGGCCTTTCATGCGCACGCAGATGCAGGCAAGCAAAGCCAGCACATGCTCCGCCACCGCTGGTGTGCGGCAGCCATCCCAGCCTACACCCCACAAATCAAGCAAGGCAGCAAGGCTCGACGCATTTGCAGCTGCAGATGTTGCAGATGCACAAGCACGCAGACCATTACTTGACAACGAGCACGCAGCAGTACTGCCGACAGCTTGGCATACGCAGCTGCTTCAGCTGCTGCAGCGGCTGCAGCTCCTGCTGCTGCAGAAGCACATGGACGCAGCACCCACGGCACCGCACGTTTTTGTGAGGTGTGCCCTGACTGGCTGTCACTGTCGTAGCCAGCCACGGCAGCAGCAGCTGGCACCGCCTGCCACCCCCGGCCTCAACAGGGAGCAGTGACATCAGCAGAGCCTTGGCTGCAGCAGCTGCTGCTGCTACTGCAGACGCCCCCGTAGCGCATCCGTGCAGCAGCAGGCACCGCCGCCAACAAACCTAACGCAGCATAGCGCAGCCAGCACAACACCTGGCAGCAGCAAACCCCGCCTGCGGCCACAACCCAACCCTCTAGAAGTGCAGCAAGGCCAACGCCTCACCAAGCAGCCGACATACGTCCCAAGCAGTAGAGGAAGCCCAGACATGCAGATGCACAGCAAATGGGCCACTGGCAGGCTGCCTGAGCACAGACGGTCCCCGTCGACAACAGAGCAACTTGTACGCCGCACCAACACTGCAGCCAGCAACCCATCTCATTACATGCGAGAGATTGCCAATGCAACCCAACACAGCGGTCAACACGACCAATGCCACGCATGCAGCGAGCAGCATGCTGCTCGCAGCTGTGCAGGCGTTCAACATGCTGTGCACAGCTGTTTGTAAACAGCCGCCTCGGGAGCATGCATGGAACAGCTCGGCGGACGCCCAGCTTAGGTCTCACGGTTTGACCAAGGCAATGCGTTTCACAAATCAACACCTGCAACTCAACATGCTATGCCGCATGTCACAAATCAGCACCTTGCGACTCAACATGCTACGCACCATGTGTGAGATGCCGCCGTTGTGCTGCTGCCAGAGCACATAGATGTGAGTGCTAGTCATGCTTCAGAAGCAAAGAAAAGCGCGATGATTCCAAAGGAAAGCCCCATGCCAGAGCACATGAGATCTACAACCATGCAAAGCACATGGCAGCGCTGCTAGCGCCATGCCAATTTTGCGGTGGCTTGCCATACGGCTTGCTGGCAGCACGGCATGGAGCCCTACAGCACAGCAGCTGGCAACACGACGCACACAGCAGTACCAGTTGGTCGGTTGGTAATCACACAGACTTGCAGTGCCAAATGATCCGAATCAGGGATGCATAGGACGCACTTGCACACTGCCTTCCCAGTGACCAACGGCTCAGGGGTTTGGACGCTTTGCTGTTGCCGCAAGCGCCTCTGGCAACCCTGCGCAGCGCACTGGAGACAAAGCCGTTTAAACCTCGTTCTGTTAATCAAGGTCGCAGGGGGCCATGCACAGCACGGAGCACTGGGTGCCTCCAAAAGTGTGACCAAGCACGTTTCACAAGTGTGACCGATAACATATCACAAATGTGACCAAGTACGTTTCACAAATGTGACCACGCACGTGTGACTGCAGTGTGCCCACCACACATGAAATACCTGAGCTGCACCCATACAGATGTGCTGTCACACTCTACCTTGCGCACGCCAGCACACTTTCATTCCCAAACATCGGTCTGTTACTGTTGCCAAACAGCAGAAACCCAGATAGCAGCCACCAGCCACCAAGACAGCAGCCACCAGCCACCAACACAGCTGCCACCAAGACAGCAGACCAGGTCCACACACAGCAGCTGCAGCAGTGCAGGAGCCACGCCAGCAACAAATCTTCTTTGAAAGCCCCAGCCTGAAAGCCCCAGTCCCAAGAGTCTTGCTGTCCTTGTCTGTGAGCTGCCAAGACCGCGCACCAGCTGCATGCACAGCGGGCACAGCAGCTCTGCCAGCGTTCCATGCGCAGGGCCGCAGCGCACGCCCCACACCAACAGATGACGACTGGACTACTGGCTCACACCCCACCCGCTCCCCCTCCCCCTCCAGGGAGGGCACTGCTGCTTGGGGGAACAGGACTCTGCTTGCCACGCCCACCACCACCACCATGCCCATGCCTGCGGGTGTGCCGCGATGGTGGCAAGTAAAGCTTGGTAACCCCCCAAAGTACGGGGTGTTGACCCTGTGATCATCCCACGCTTAAAGGTTAAGCCACCCCACCCCATAGACTACCCGACCGCCGGCACCCCCTGCCTCCAAAAAATACCCTGCTGCCACCGGCATGGAAAACAAAGAACGGCGCAGCGACCTGCGCTGCCTTGCTGCAGCAGAGGCAGGCCTTGCTGCGACACAAGAAGCCGCAGCGCCGCTGCAGCCAAGTGCAACTGCTGCCTGCCCCGCGCTCCGAAAAGAGCATGCAGTGCTGCACGCACCACCACCTGCGCTGACTTGCTGCAGCTGTGTGACAGCGCCCTTGCTCCTTCGTATGGCAGGCCCACCTGTGCCGTCTTGCGGCAGCAGTCGCCAACGCAGCATAGCATCACCATGGCAGCTGCGTGCTGGCAGACACCGCCACACGCGGTTCATGCAACGGAGCAGCTGCCTGCCGGCCTTTCCCACCCCCGTCTGCTGCATGCCGTGCATCAACGCATCCAACTGCACTACGTTGCCACAACAATCCACCCAACAACAACATGTACAGCAGAAACGCCCCCCCCCCCCTCCAAAAGAATTAGAGTGCATGCATCCACTTGCGTTGCCTTGCAACAAATACCAAGCAGGTGTAAGTCTAAACACCCGCCTACAATACAGCAGCTAGCCCACCTCCCACCCCACCCCCAACAAAGATTACATGTCACACCTTCCCACACATTTGTCACACCTCCAGGTGGACAGAGAACAACCGCCACGCTCAGCAGCTGCGTGCCAGCCAATCCCCTCGCAGCGTGTCAAGAGCGGCAAAGCCCACAGCCCGCCTGCACTGCAGCAGACGCCGCCACAACTCCAAATCGCAACCGAGCAGGCCCCTGCCACCTCCCAGGGGCAGACCACACACCGCCAGGTTCGCCGTTGCACCGCATACAACGTCAATAAAAGCCCGTATGCTTGTCGCAGCAGGCCGTGGCTGCAATCGCAGCACGGGCAGCGCCTGCAACTGCAGCCGGCAACAGAGCTGCAAGAGCAGCCAGCGGTGAAAGCTCAAGCCTATCCACACCACATGTGTGCGTGTGTGTGTGTGTGTGTGTGTGTGCGCGTGTGTGTTGGCAGCCCACCACCCCTCCTGCCCAGCCGCAACGCATAGGGTTTAGTCTGCCTAAAATCACAATACCGGCAGCCCTGAACCATGCATGCCCGCATCATCCATCCCCCTGCCTGCTGCCAGCAACGTGTACGTTCAGGTTGGGAAGGGATGCTGCACTGTGAAATGCTTGAGGCAGCACCAGCAACCTGCAGGCCAGCACGCTGCCGCATGCAAGCACAGCTGCAGCCCCGCTGTGCATGCGCAGTCATCCTGATACAGCATGACGCTTCATCCTCCTCAACCTCTGCGGCAGCCGTCCTATGCTGGCCTGTTCCTGGGCTCAGCGCCGCACATCCGTCACACTCAGACCGGGTGCAACTTTGGAAGCAGCACGTGCCAGCACGCTGCATGCGCGCTGCCCGTAAGCAAGCACAGCTGCACACCACTGTCAGCCGATCGATGGGTGCAAACACACGCGATCAGCTGCAGACTGCCAGGTGCTGGGCTCTCCTTGGCTCAGTGGCGGGCCAACCCCACAATAACTGCCGCCAGGATGGGATGAGGCAGCAGCGCAGCCACGCATGTCACAGGCACGCGCTTGAGCCAGCACACACACCGTTTGTTTTCACTGCGCACCCGCTGTCAGTGCAAGGAGGTGTGGCTGCACACCTGTGCATGTGCAAGCCACCATGGGCAGGGCTCCCAGATGGCTCAGCATACACGCTCGCCGCCCATCGCCCAGTCTGCCTGGTCCCGACCGAATCATATGCCCATGTGGGCAGCGAACGCGACACAATCGAGCCGCACCACCACCCATTTGCAGGTTGCCGCACGCACACACACATGCCCCAGCCATGGGCTGTAGTGGTGTGTGTCGTCGTGGGCCCGAACCCTGAACCCTGCACCCTGAAGCTCTGGGACACCCATCCATGCCGGCCTCTTCCATGCTCACCAGCACGCCCACGCACACATTGTCGGGTTGCGCAGCAGCAGCGCATGCAGGCATGTCACCAGCAGGCACGTCGGCCCAAGCAAGCACAGCGGCACACACCCACCGCGGATACACGCGTGGATGCGCCGCCGTCCGTATGTGCACCGGCAAACTTTACAACCAGGCCGTGCCGGGCGCCCTTGAAGTTTGCCGCCATGCAAACGCTACTCTGAGGAAATACTTGGCTTTGCATGGTGTGCAACAAAGGAGCGCCCACAGCAACACTGCATGCCATGACACGGCAGCGCACGCGCGCGCGCGCGCGCCAAAAACAACACATCACCACTGCATCCAGCCGCAGCCAAACAGCAGCGTCACCGGGAACAGCGATGGAATGGATGCCACGTGTCACCAGCAGCACCAATGCCACTCCTGCCTGGTGACGCTGCAGCGCATGCCGGCAAGTGCCAGCATCAGCGCTGTGACCTACAACTGACCTACAAGTACAAGATCTACAGAAGCACCAACCACTCCTGCCCGGTTACACTGCAAGCTATGCTAACAAATGCCAACATC